CCCCCCCCCCCCCCCCCCGAAGGGTCAATCCAGAACTCCTGATCTTGGACAATTCAATGTTATCAACCTTTCTAAATGGAGACAGACCAACACAGTGAGGTATCCCAGGGACGTGAAAGTCTGAGTACAAGGTCACTGGATGATACAGGGTATACAGTGAGTTCATCTTAACATTCACACTTGGTTTCCATACAATGGAGTCAATTAAAATATCCTATAAAATAATTCAGATGGCAACCTTTAGCCATCTGTTGATTGCAAACCTTTTGGAAATTTAAAATTTAAAAAAATTCCTAGTCCACTGAGTGGACTTGGAAATAGTTTCATCCATTTGCTTCTCATAAGACTTTCCTAAGTGTCTACAAATTAGTGTCATAAAAATGAATCAAAAAGATGAAACATTTGGCTTAAAATAAATACTAAAAATGCAACAAATCAAGCAAATTATGCAAACCAAAGGAATGTAAACACAAAAATAAAACCACAGTCTTTAAAGGTCTTCGGATCTGAATGGACAAAATATTCAGAGAAAGGTATTTAATTGGTTTAAAAGGTAGCAGAGAGCAGATGTTGGCAAAGTTGTTTTAATTTGATATAGCTTTAACATTGATTTCTTTCCCCCCCGAAAGAAAATAAAACATGTTTCTAAGGGGGCTGAACTGAGATGACCATGAAATCTGCATATCAGAGAAGACAGTTTTTCTTCCCCATCTCCAAGGGTGGCACCCACCCTGTGTAGAAGGCAAGCAGACAGGCCATGTGGGTGCTGATGGACACCATGGGATGCTTTCGCCTGCCATATTGAGGCCTCGCACAGGCTCTTTGGGAGTCCTGACTGCACTGCAGTCTGTCCTTCTACTTTGCAGAGCCCCCACTGGTGTTTTGCTTTGCTTGCTTGCTTAAGATACAAGAGGATACCTCAAAAAGTTCATGGAAAGATTCCCACTATCTTTTAATTCTATTTTTTCACAAACTTTTTGAAGTATGCTTGTATTGATTTGAATTGCTCAAAGTTTCATAAACATTTATTTTTCCTTTACAAACTGTGTAACTCCATCAAGGATCTTTATGGAAGGTATTGAAGGCAGCCAAACTTAAAGAGTACTTCACATACTGACACACAGAATCTATTTTAAATTACAGAGGTCTGTGGTGTTTCCTAGTTTCCTGTGTTTGAAAAAGGGCTATTTTAAGGGCAACAGATTAGACTAGTGACAAATCACTCAAAGCCTTATCAGGACCCTGTAATATTCTCTGTATCCCTAAGAATGTTGTATCAATATATTCTGCTATTGAATGAATGCCAAATATGACCGAAATGCCAGACCTTTTCAATGGTGACATCTTTACCACTACAAAGTGGCCGGATCAATTAGGCTATTTTCAGAGACTGCTCCATATCGGCACCTTGACTTTGTTAAGAGGTGGCACAATCAGTGATACTCTGCAATAAGGGTACTTTACGTGCTAGTCTATTTCAAAAAGGGAGTCACACAAATAAGCGGGCAGAAAACCACGGCTTTTTCCAGTGCCTTGATTAATTTCCAAATTATCACTACAGAAATCTAGAAAAAAAAAAAAGGTAAAATAAAAAATGGTTTTTGAAGACAATATATAGGGAGGGTCAGAAAGATTTTTAAAAAATATATTACCCAAAACACAAATTATATTATTTCTGGGGTTTTCCATAAGCCACAGAAATGGAACAGTCCTTATCCTGTTATTACAGGGACTTGATTAGCAGAATCATGTGGCACAACAGGAAGGCAATGGCCTGGAGTAATCAGAGATTGAAATATAAAAAGGCTAAAATGTTTGTTTTATATCTATTCCTAGAATAGAGAATTATATGGTCAGTTGCCCCTCCCCACAAGGGTCACAGCGCAAAATACTTATTGAGCAGGCAGGCAATCCAACAGGTAACAGAGGAAACCATCGGCCACCAGTTCCCTAGAAGGAAATTTCTCAGGGGTGGAGCTCCTGTGGCATGCATCACTCATATAGTCTGTGCAAAAAAATAAAGTATGATTCTTAAAAAGTGACTTCCCTTAGAAAAGTGGGATTTATGTTGACTACATGTGGGTCTGCCAATAGTTCCCATCAGGAGTACAAAACATCCTCCTGAAAGTTGGTGTAATAATAGTAACAATAATAATACAAACAATCATAACAATAATACTTGCTTTTGATTCAAAAATGTTCACAGTAATCGATGCGGGGGGCTTGTGATCAGGATACAGACTAGCTAGGCATCTATCTCTCCAGGTCAGGTGGATTGGAGCCTGTGTCTCCAGTGATGTTTAGCTTGTTCTTTTACAGGCTTTTGAAGGATTTGCTACCTGGCAGGCCATCTGTGCAAACTGCACCTTGTAAATACCTTTCTCTATGTACAATACAGAGATGATGGGTGAACACACGGCCACCGAGTTGTCCTCAGTGGGCAGGATAGGCCTCACCCTAGGCCACACGAACGTGGGGCTCCTCTTCGGTTTCCTGGCCCAGGCTGGTGTAGGTGACTGAAGGCTCCGCCTGAGCTGCGTTTGGTAAGTCCACCACAGGTCCTGAAGGATTGCGAAACTGCTTGTACACTCGGGGGTCCTGGGCTATGTACGTGGAGGTGGAGGAGTACAGCACCAGCCCAATGAGGATGGTGAAGAACGACAGGAGATAAAGTCCGGAAAACTAGAAAACACAAGGGCAAAGTCACTCAGCAGCTGGAGCAGAAGCACTGACACGTGGATGAGGCTCAGAGAGAAGGGAGCGGGGCTGCTTCCTCTCGGAACAAGCAGCTTGATGAGTGGGCCAGTACTCTGGATGGAAAGTGAATTTTCTCTTCCTAAACTGGCTCAGTCTTATTGGTTCCCCTTATCTTTTTTCTAGACCTGTGGCTAACACAGAAGAACACTTAGCTAATTGTCTCCAAAGTGCCAACCAGAGTACCCGGTATGGTGGGACAGCTAGTAAAGCACAAATTAAAATACATCAGCTTAAAAGCAAAAAAATTCCATTATCACTCAAAGAGTTGGTTGGTTGTGGCTTCATTAAACCCAGAAGAAATATAGATATCCTATTTAAGGCTGCAATGAAGCCATAAACAAGGCATCACTCACTGACAGCTGCATCAGGCACTCTCATTTTACCTTGATCCAATTCAGACACTATTTATCTTCCTAGGAGGAATTGTTATTGACTTCCCTAACTATCTTTGCAAGACTCGATTATCTGTGGACAAAAAGAAACAGTGTGACATTCCATTCCTGCCCTGTTAATCTAAAAACAAAACAAAACAGGGCTGCATATATAGCATTCTGCTTCCTTAACAATTTTTAAAGTTTTTTTGGGGGGAGGGGGAGAAAATATTGGTTTATACAAGTCCCCAAAATTTACATATGTTTTTGAAAAATTATAACTTCTGGACCTCTTGAGTGGTTACACTGGAAGTATTTACTTGAGTAGTTACTGGGGGAGGGTAAGGTAACAATATGAGTGTTGTCATTTCTTTTTTTTATTCATTTATTCATTCATTCATTCATTCACTCCTTCATTCAATGGGTAGTTTCTTATATGCCTTCTCTATAGCAAACATTGTAGGGAAAGAGAAATGGAAAATATGGTTGGTCCCTACTATCATGGACTTAATAGTCTCACTGGAGAAACAGAGGTACAGACAGACAAAAGCAAAAACAAAAAACAGTACAGTGCACTTATGGCATGCCAAATCTCATATCAGTCAATAACTACTATCTCAGTCTTGACCACATCCTGCAGCCACAGGGAAAAAGGGATCAATTTTATTTTCCTTACTTGGTATGCTCATACCCTGAAAGAACTAAAAACTGGTAAAAAGACAAAAATTAATTGAAAGCTGGAAGAAAGGAAACAGGAAAATGACCCAGAGATTCTATGAAGTACGTTACAAGGCTATAACAAAATGCTAAAAGATGGCTATAACTGGTAGTTCGATAAGGAAAGGCAGTCTTGAAAATGGCACATAGAAAAGTGGCTAAAAGTCCCTGATACAGTGTTTTCTTTTTTTAGTTTTTGCAGCAGCAAGGTAGCCAAGACTAAAGTTGATTTTCTGATTTTCTCTCTAGAGCACACCTCGCCCTGTCCCTCAGTTCCTTTCTCTCTCTCTCTCTTTTTTTACCTTTTTTTTTTTTTTTTGTCTTTTTTTTTTTGTCTTTTTGTCTTTTTTCCGTGTCCGGCAACGGATCGCAATCCTCAGTGTTGCCCCCGTACCGGACCGGGGACCGGCGACGGGATCGCAAGCCTCGGCGTTGCTCCCGCGCCTCGCTCAGCCAGTGAGCGGGAACCGGTCTGTACGTGGGATCCGAACCCTCGGATGGGAGCGCTGCCGCGCTTCCCAAGCAGCGCACTATCCAGTGCGCCACCGGGCCGGCCCCCTTTTTTTACCTTTTGATAACACTTCCTCAGATGGATTCACATTCTAGACTTAACTTGTAACAGCTTCCCTTAATTAAGTTGAAGTAATTAATTCCATTTTCCCCAATGGAAATAAACGTGCCTTATTCCTTAATTCATGACTGTGTAAAATAAAATAGTAGGAGAAGAAGACGACTCACTCAGTACTACTGTATATGATCTCAGAAAACCTACTTACTCTCAAACTTGCTTCCTGAAATTCTACATGCAAAAGCTTTATCCCTTATCTGAAACTCTGGTGAATGAAATGAGTTTGTTCCTGACGTTGCCATCATTTCAAATATTTTGCCCATGGCTTTCACTTTTAAAACTCCACTCATGCATCTCAGTTTCAAGTGAAGAGCCCAGCACAGTGGGTCGGAGGTGTGGGCCTGCCCCTGATACAGCAGATAGAGGTGAAGAGATTAAAAATGGGGGCTTTGCAGTTATCACTGCATTCTAACCACCATCTGGGTTCAGATCCTAGCTCCACTACTTTCTAGCTGTAATTCTAAACAGATCCAAGCTTCCTCATCAGTAAAGTGCATCTACTGGATAGGGTGGTGGTTATAAGGACTAAATTAGATAAAGCATATCAAGCAATTATCATAGTGCCTATCTTGCTACAAGCATTCAATTCATAGTAGCTTCATTGTTGTTGTTACTGTTACTATTTTTGTTATAATTATAGCACTTATAATGGTAATACTCTACTATATCTTATATTATAATATTCTGAATTAACCATTGATTAAATTGTCTTTTTCCAATAAGTCCTTGACTATGGGGTTGTATCTTTTTTGACTACTGTCAAGCACAGAACCTGGCACCTATTAAGTATTATTTGCTATGTGGTTTTATTTTGAATATATACACAAATTTAATTATGGGGAAGTTTCAGACTAAAGAAAAATCATAATAAAAGAAGGAGTCTCTACCAGTGGTATATTTTAATTTTTTTAAAGTAGATAATACAATGTCATTTCTTGTACATAAAATGCTAAACAAAAACCCATTGAAAAGAAAGTCATAGTATTGATCTGTAATTATTGACTCTGAAAGTCATCTTCAAATTTGGGGATAGTCAGAGGAGAGTGATAGGATGATACTTTGGGAAGGACAATGAAGAAGGCAAGAGTGTGGGTAGAAAACTGAGGACTGCCCACCAGTGGATTGGAGCAGGAGGTTTCATCAGCCTGGCATGGACAGGACTTGGCAATTGTAATAATGTAGGGGTAGGGACAAGAAAGAATCTGATACAGATTGTCTGAGTAAAAGGATTCAAATTCCTTTCAATTTCTGACTTTAGATTCCATATTCTTGTAATATTAAATTTTGTCAAGCTAATGCTTTTGCCATTTTTAAGAAATAATACCTTAATGTACTGCTGAAAAGGATCATCCCTTTTTTGGACATGAAACCATCAGGTTGAATGATAAATCCACTCCAAAGTGTTTTCTTGGGACATAGCTTTAGAATGATAATACATAGCTTATTTTCAATGCATTTCTACTTAATTCATATACAGTTCACTCTAAAATTGTTCTAAAGACAGACAGCATGGAATTTTATATGACAGAGATATCTTGGAACTCACCCAAGAGGTTTTATTAATAGTAGAGAAAGTTTTCATTTAATACATGAGCCCCAAAAGGGAGCCGTCAGGCAAGCATTATGATATATGATCAATCAGGATAAATACCGAATGTTATAAATAATGACAGAAATTTTTCATTTTTTTCTTCTTTCTAGTTTAATTAAAAAAAAAAAAAAGAAAATTTAATCAGGGGTACTTAACAGAATAATCCAGGTCCTGGATGCTGCACTTATCTCATAGGACACTCCTTGCAGAAACCAATCAGTCAAACAGAACATGTGTACCGTCTAGGCTGCTTACTTCATTAACTGCAAAGAAATGCTTATTTCTAGTTCCCTAAGTGAAGAGAACAGGAATTTCTCTGGAACACTAGATGAGGACTGAAAGTCGTCTCTGAGTTTCAGATAAGAGGAGTTTCAGGCACTGAAGAACAGGGGCACCGTCTGGCATGTCCTTTGTGTTGTCCCCTTAACCAGTTGCAGCCCATTGGAATATACTGTACGTTCTGTGATGCAGACATACTTTCCCTGCATTTTATGTATTTGTAGCTTTGAGAAGCTGAGAAAGGATGCACTCGGTATTAGCACTACCATACTATAGACACTGTTTACTTCGCTGCTATCATTTTCTGTCTTGATGGGTCTCTTTGCAAACAAGGGTCAGAAAGCACTCACTGTACATAATGAGAATCCTGTGTGTTGCTTAAAATAATCTGACTGAGACATAAGCCATTGTACAGAATGGGGTGGCTTGTAAGACTAACAATAAGCCTGCACAAAGCTCTTTAACTTCCAACTAGGTGCTAAACCCTAGCTCCCTAGAGAGTTGGCATGTCAGTATGATTCCTATTTATTTGATGTGGCACTCAGCACATCAGTTAAGGAGAAACCAAATTTTATTTTTGGCATTAAACATCTAAGTTGAATTTTAATAAGCAAATCACTTCTATGACTTTAACCTATACAAGTAGAAAACCACATTATTTTAAAGTTATTTCAAAGTACCTTTATAAATATACCAACTTGAATACGTGAGGAAGAGGACAATTTTTCAATGGCAGCTTTCTCTTTCTAGCTTGACTAAAAATATGGTAGAGATTAGCAGAGGAAAACGGGCAATTCTCAGAGAGACATAAGGTGGACCATGAAGAAACCCCGGGTTTGAGCTCTACTTTTACTGAATGTATAAACCAACTATTTCTGTATGGTGGGCCTGGTTTTTCCTACTTTCTTGGCCTAAAAGAGTCCCTTTATAGTATATGCCTCTGTGTAATACAGCTTTTGTAAAGCTCCTGATGTTGAGCCTTGGTTATTTTTGCTAAATAACTCTGCTTGTGCTTATTAATGATGAGAACTAATTATTGATTCAATAGATAATAAAAACTTACAAGATTCTTTTAGCTCTTAAAGTGAGATATACGACAGTTTCTATACCACCCCCCCCCCCAAAAAAAAAAAAAAATTCAATGGAAAAAGAATCTTTTAGCTCTTAAAGTGAGATATACGACAGTTTCTATACCACCCCCCCCCCCAAAAAAAAAAAAAAGATTCAATGGAAAAAGAAACTCTGTTACTTAGGAGAGGAAGAAGAAGGACTGAAAAAGAGCCACTGGTAAGGTTTCCTAGGAAAGGGAGGTACAGGTGAATGAGACTTGGATAAAGCC